CCAGAGCGGCGTCTGCCGCTGGGGGCAGACGCCGCACCGACCGACTCAAAACCAGCGAGGTCGGCCGTAGCAGCAGAGGCGACAGAGGGCAGCAGGGGGGAAGGAGAACACCCCTCAAAGATGGGGGTGCGAGGGTCACCCCTAGAGGCCCCTACAGCGACTATACTCTTCTCAGCCGCTAGCAGGGACTCCTCAAGGAGGTCGACAGTGAGGGTGGTGGGACAGACAGAGAGAAACTGGTCCCTAACGACACGAAGGGACTCAGGAAGACGGGTGACGAGAAAGTAGAGAGTGATATACATGGGAGGAGGGTGTGCGGCGCGGAACTCAGCAGGAAGGGCAGCGCGGTAGCGAGCGTCACTAGCGCGGAGGTGGGTAACGAGGTCAGCGATAGTGGGAAAGGAAGCGAGGTCAGGGAAGAGAAACGGTAGCATGAGGCGGCTAAGGGTAGCGGAGGAAGGGGAGGAGTAGCGTGCAACTACAGCGTCGTACAAGGCCTGAGCGGTCTTGCACTGACTAAAGTGGGCACGCTCAGAGGAAGGGAGGTGGCGACGCACAGCAAGACGTGCAGCAGCATCGCGGGTCGCCCACTTGGAGCGAACGGCAGAGTCAGCATCAGCAGGCGGGGCAGGGACAGCTCCAGAGACAAAGTCAAAGAGAGAGACCTCATCTATCGCATCACACAGTAAGTACAGCTGCAGGTCTTCAATCCAGACGGCAAAGTCAATGGCCCTCCCCTCAGCGTCAAAAGTAAGAACATTGGGGGTGGCCATGGCAGCAGCTGAAAGTCTCACCGGGCTGGAAGAGTCGGGTAGGTCAGCAGCAGAGGAACACAGCTCAGGGACAGCAGCACGGCTCCTCAGGTGGCTCGCGTGGCTCAGGCGGCTCGGGCGGCTCGGGCGGCTCGGGCGGCTCGGGCGGCTCGGGCGGCTCGGGCGGCTCGCGCGGCTCGGGTGGCGTAGGGGCTCACGGGCGGCGCGGGCTGCTGGGGCTGCTCACGTGCAGCACGGCGGGCTGCAGCAGGGCCGGTGGTGGGCTGTAGCAGGGCCGGTGGCGGGCTGTAGCAGGGCCGGCGGCGGGCTGTAGCAGGGCCGGCGGCGGGCTGTAGCAGGGGCCGGTGGCGGCTGTAGCAGGGCCGGTGGCGGCTGTAGCAGGGCCGGTGGCGGGCTGTAGCAGGGCCTGCGGCGGGCTGTAGTAGGGGCCGGTGGCGGCTGTAGCAGGGGCCGGTGGCGGGCCTAAGCGGGGCCAGCGCGGGGCCGACAGGGCGTAGGTGGGGCCGACGCGGGGCCGAAGAGGGGCCTAAGCGGGGCCGACGGAGCCTACGCGGGGCCGACACGGGGCCGAGACGGGGCCTGGGCGGGGCCTACGCGGGGCCGACGAGGGGTACGCGGGGCCGACGAGGGGTACGCGGGGCCGACGAGGGGTACGCGGGGTCGACGAGGGGTACGCGGGGCCGACGAGGGGTACGCGGGGCCTACGCGGGGCCGACGAGGGGTACGCGGGGCCTACGCGGGGCCGACGAGGGGCCGACGAGGGGTACGCGGGGCCTACGCGGGGCCGACGAGGGGTACGCGGGGCCGAGGAGGGGTACGCGGGGTCGACGAGGGGTACGCGGGGCCGACGAGGGGTACGCGGGGCCTACGCGGGGCCGACGAGGGGTACGCGGGGCCGACGAGGGGTACGCGGGGTCGACGAGGGGTACGCGGGGCCGACGAGGGGTACGCGGGGCCGACGAGGGGTACGCGGGGTCGACGAGGGGTACGCGGGGCCGACGAGGGGTACGCGGGGCCTACGCGGGGCCGACGAGGGGTACGCGGGGCCTACGCGGGGCCTACGTGGGGCCGACGAGGGGTACGCGGGGCCTACGCGGGGCCGACGAGGGGTACGCGGGGCCTACGCGGGGCCGACGAGGGGTACGCGGGGCCGATGAGGGGCCTAAGCAGGGGCCGACGAGGGGCCTAAGCGGGGCCGACGAGGGGCCTAAGCGGGAGCACGACGGGAGGGGCGACTCGGAGGGTCGCTAAAAAAAATGCGCGCCTCGGGGCGCGCTTCGGTGGGCCCTAGGAACAGGCCCTAGGAAGGGACCTGCTCTGATTCCATGAGAAAGTACGAACGAGAAGTGGATGACTATGAAATGAAGTGGGTACAAATAGGAAACCCTAATTGGGTTGTACCCCCTATGGGATACCCCACTATAGCCTACAGAAATAAGTAAGCTATATGTTCTGACATCACGCGCCCCTTGTTGCACAGCACCGTGATCGCTCCCGTCGTCCAGTCGATGGTCGGATTGAAACGCTGCAGCCAATCCCTTCCGAGCAGCACATCGCAACCGTCCAGCGTTGTCGCCAGCATTCGCATGGAGAACCCGAAAACGTCGCCACACTTCATCAGAATTTGTCGGACCTCGTCCTTGATTGCCAGCGGTGTTCCGTCCACCAATCGCGCATCAATCTCTGGTAGACACATGTCCAGCTTGACTCCATTTTTTTTGGACGTCGCCAGGTTGACGAGACTGTGGCTCGCCCCACCGTCGACGAATAATTTTATTTTATGCCCATTCACCCTCCCCACGACCAGCACAGGGTGATCCACGTGTTCATCCACCTTATTCGTCCGGTTGCGGTCGATAGCCCGTATCGGTACCACCACTCGGTGTGGATGTTGATTGCCGGGCGACGGGGTCTCGTCAGTAGGTGGCCCGACTACTACTGACTCGTCTCTTTTCCCGACCCCTCTCCGTCGTTCCTGTTTCCCTGTTTCAGCTTCGGGCAGTCCTTCTTCCAGTGGCCCGGTTGGTTGCAGATGAAGCAGTTGTTGTTTCCCCGCCTCGGTGCATCCACCCCGTTGATTGTGGGCTGGCGCGGCGGTCCACGAAATTGAGTGCCCTCCTGGGAACTCATTCTCGCCCATTGCATCAGCGCATCCGTCGATTCGGCCACCTGGACGGCTTCGAGAAACACGCGTGGCCTCGCCCGTCGCACCTCGTACTGTACGTCGTACTTGAGGCCTGCGACGTATCGGTCGAGTCGTTCCGCGTCGCTCATGTCATCCACTTGGTCAGCCAAATTGCAGAATGTCGCCGTGTAATCTTGGACCGACGCCACCTGCTTCCAGGTACGCAGCTTCATGCGAGCAGAATCCGAGGCGGATACATGCTCGAATCTGCTTCGCAGCGCGGCGCCCCACTCTGTCCATGTGCGTATCGTGGCCACTCCGAAGATTGAAGTTGCCTGTTGCGTGACAGCTGCCCAGGTCCCGTCGTTCGCACGTGATATCCCTGTCGGAGCCCCCTCTGGCTGAAGAGTCCGTTTCCACCATTCCAACGCCGGTCCTCGCAATAGTGATACTGCAAAATTAATGCGGGTAGCATCGTCAGCAATTTGCGCAGCATTGAAAAACACCTCTACACCGAACAACCAAGCTGACACAGTGACGGCTTTGTCGCTGGGGTTGAACGGGGGCGGGTTCGTCGGTTTAATTTTAACAGTTGTTGAGACTGTTGCTGCTGCATGCATCGGGGGCGCCATTGAAGCCATCACCGGGGTTGTCGCTGGTGCCTGTCGTGGCGTCGCCTGCGACTGTTGCCTCGGCTGTGACTGTTGTTCCTGCGTCCCTTGTGCTCGTTGCGTTCGTGCTGTCCGCTCGTCTTCAGCGTCCAGCGAGTTCTGTAGCTCGCTGAGGACCTCGTCGTTAGGCACGAAACTGCTTCCTGCTTCATCCACGGCGGGCGACTCCTGACGCGCTTCACCTCGCGTCTGGCGTAGCTCGGCGTTTTCCTCCCTCAGGCGCTCCAACTCGCCAGACATAGTCTGCATGTTGGCCTGCAGCGCCCGAAACTGTTGCATCAGCTCGTTTAACTCCGCCTGGTCCATGTGTCGCAGGCTTCGTCTCACGGGCAGGGGGTTAACAGCGATTTTTCTGGTTTTGATGAAGGCGCAAACGCTATTAGTCAGAGCGAGATAATCGTATCTATCTCTCAGCCGACCGCTTTGCAGCCCACCAAACCTATCGCACCCCTGTACTAAACTACCCCGGAAAGTGGAGGGTAACCTAGGAAAGTAGCTCTGATACCAGGTGTTATGAGTTGTATGAAAGAAGAGTGCGCAGAATGCAATATCGCGGAAGTGATTACAACTACTGAGCAAACATCGGGGCCTAGGCATAATATAGCAAGGCTAGCTAAGCCCGAGGTTGCGAAGTCGTGCGAGGGTTGGGTGTAGGCTTGGGTTTGGAAAACCCGAAGGCGACGCGGAGGACGTTCGGGAGGCGAGGTCGTCGGACGAGCCTGAACTCCGAAAGTTGGAAATGTACGCGTAAGGAATTAGCAAAATTCCTTACACTTGCGCTGTTTGTGATCGATCTGATTGTGAATGGCAAGAACCACCCACTAACTGCCACGTCTGCAAATCTGCTCAACTTCCGAAGTTGAGTACCAATTGTGCTGAGAGTCCCAAAAGGTGGCTTCGTCAACCATAGCCCCATCAACTGCAGGTCAATCCCGTAAACCACACTTCTCTGACGGTCGACCATTATTCGCCGCCACGCTGCCCCAACCAGCCGATTAGGTGTCGTGCACGACATGAACTTCGACCTAGAAATCCAAGCCGAACCCTCACCATGCGGGATCCGCCAGTTTCACATTTTTCTGATGATTTGCGATTGACCAGCTCGCGACACATACATGACGCCCACCCCCGAGAGCTGAATCACACTTTCCCACCGCTCTCGCTCATTGCGTGCCTTCGTCTCCTTCTCAGTCGCACCCAATCTCACCTCGTCGCGACACACAGCGGCCTCGTCGCACCCAATCCCGGCGGTTCAACCTTGAAAAGGGTGAGGAAGCTTCCAGCGACCAGAACCTTCCAGTGACCAGAACCTTCTCGCTATCCCGAGGACGTCTTGCCGTTTCCCCGCTCCGTCCGCTGTCATCACGATCCGCGCCTCCCCGCCTTCCCGTTTCCCCGCGCGCCGTGATCGCTACGCCGACTCCCGTCGCCATGAAGCCCTGCGCGCGCCTGTCCGGCCTGTGTGGCTTCGCCGCACTCGTCGCCATCAGCTTCCTCGCGACCCACGACAGCGCCGCTGTTGGTGAGCAGGCTGACTGCCGCACGCCAGTGGCCGTACACTTGTAGTGCTGGCGTGCGGATGAGTGCTGGAGTGCGCTTGAGCGACGCACAGTCAAAAGCAGAAAATGTCTTGTTTTAACGTTGCTTCTGTGCTGGCGTTGCGCCTCTTTGCCCTTACTTGAAACAATATCAATTTCTGTGCAGACCTGTGTGCTTTCGTGGATTGTGGCGAAGCCACCTGCGCTGTTGATGTAGACATTGGCATACCCCTGTGCGTGTGCAAGGACGGTTTTGTATTCGACAAAGACCACAAGACGTGTGTCGTGGGTGAGTGCTGGAGTGTGGGTGAGTGCTGGAGTGTGGGTGAGTGCTGTGAGTGTGGGTGAGTGCTGGAGTGTGGGTGAGTGCTGGAGTGTAGGGGAGTGCTGGAGTGTGGGTGAGTGCTGGAGTGTGGGTGAGTGCTGGTGTGTGGGTGAGTGCTGGTGTGTGGGTGAGTGCACAGCTTACGATCAAAAGCAACATTCTCATTTAACCCGCTTACCCTGCTTCATCTCGGAACCCCCCATCACTTCCTCTGCAGACCCGTGTGTTGGTGTGGACTGTGGGTTACAGGCTCACTGCGTTACTCTCACTCATACCGAATCCGAGTGCGATTGCAACAAGCAAGAATTTTACTTCAACGAGCCTGACAAGACGTGCTTTGGTGAGTGCTTCACGTTACTCAGCGTTTGAGCGTTTGAACAAGCTGCACTGGGAGGCGCCGCTGAGAGGCTTCACTGGGAGGCGCCGCTGAGAGGCTTCACTGGGAGGCGCCGCTGAGAGGCTTCACTGGGAGGCGCCGCTGAGAGGCAACGCTTGAAACGTTCACCCCTCCTCACTCATCCTGCACCTTCCTCACCACCCCCCCCCCCCCTCCCCCCCCCCCCCCCTTCTCTCCCCCCCTCCTCCGACTCCTTCCTCTCCTCTCCCATGCCCTGCCTCCAACTTGACGCATCCTGCAACTTCCCCTCCTCAAATCTCCATCATCGTCACGCAACCTGCAACGGCCACGACCTGGCATCGTCGCATCAACCATCACACCAACGGTCTTAATGGCTGGTCAGCCCCGTTGGTGCGGACGACTGTGGCAGTGCAGGCAAGTGGCAACACCTTCGCGGGCGAAAGGGACGCAACCTTCCTGACGGAGGTGCCGGCAGAGCAGGCCAGTGGCAGCAGTGCGTGCGGCAACCTGCACACGGTGCTCAACGGCACCACCAGCATCACCGTCGTGTGGAACACCAAGCGCTCCGCTCCTGGCAGCCTCGCGCTTGGCAACGCCATGTGCAAGAGCCTGTCGTTCTACGCTGACTGGGACTGCAAGGAGAAGCTGGATTTCACCATTGCTCGTCCCGTGAAGAAGGGCAGTTCCTACCCCGTCACGATAAGGTGTGTGGGCATGATGCACATGACTTGTATGATTCATTCCCCTGTGCTTGCAGCACCTAGTACCAAAAAGACTTTTGAGTCGACTCGAAAGTCACGATGCACATGGCTTGTGTGATTTATTCCACTGTGCTTGCAGCACCTAGTACCAAAAATTGCTTGTCCGTCGCAGTTGTAGCGTGAATGGGGCGAATATCGTAACTCGCCCTCACCATTGGTCTTCCCTATCCTTGCCTATCCCTCTCTCAGGACTGTCAATGGAATCGCTTCGCTGATATCAGTTGGCTGCGAGATCAGTAAGTGCAAGCGCATGCACGTTACGCTCGGGTTATTGTACTTCGTCTGAAGGGTGTCACGTGCACTACAGAATATCTCCAAACATGCTAGCATGTGCTTTGCTCATTCTGACAGAATTGATGACACGGGAGAGGTACCGTAAGAGAGAGCGAGACACACACCCAACCTCGTTTTGTTTTTTCCTTTTATCACCTCTGTATGCCTGAGAAGCCATTCTCTTTCTCTGTGTCCTTCAATTTATGCCCAGAACAGCCATGTGTGACAATGATTGTGGAGAAGGGCAAGCCGCAGTGCCAGTGCCCCGAGGGCCTCGTGTTTAACGCAGCTAAGAATCTCTGCCGGGTTGCTCCTCCTCGTAAGTGCCAACAATAATCAAGCTTCTCGTTTATATGTATGGTAGCTTGTCATGTATGGTAATTTGCCAGTGTGACACCAGCTGCACAACGAGGAGCAGGCTCTGCACTGGCAGGCTCTACCATAGTTTTGTATCATCTCACATCTTACGTTGTTGCCTGCCCTCCAATTCCCCCCTCGTGTTGCAACCATGAACTGATCATTTCCACCTGTAGGGGCTGGTGGACAAGCGAAGATGGGCGACCCTAGTTGGATGGTCAGAGGGCAAGGAGGCGCAAGCTGGCAGCACCGGAGGGATTCCGTATAATGTGGTTGATGAAGCTGATGGACCATTTGGATAGGGGCTGATGGAGCAGAGGTGCGAGAAACTGCATGCGGTTGCTCGGAGGAGACGAATCAATCTGGTTGATGGTTGGCTGTCATCTAGCATAGACATTTACAGCAGGTCTCTGAGCCTGCAATCCTTGATACTGCCCCTCTGCCACGTCTTGATGAGATTTTGTCGAGAGAATCCTCTCTCGAACTCAACGGTGCTGTGCTGAGAGGCAGCATTGCAATCGCCACCCAGAGTCTGACGAGGTTGGGGTATGCTTGCTGCCTGTCAGATGTCTTGAGAAATGCAGTCAGTCCCGTGTTGAACTTACGCTCGCTCTTAGGAGCTCTGGCCAGTACTAGGCACAGAGCAAGCCCCAAATTTCAAGGGTAAAATACCCTTTTTGCCCTAATGGTAGGCCGCTTTTTGGCAGTTACCTTGTGAAATCAGGCTATGCAATTTTGTACCCTAGTGAAATCAGGATACTGAGAAAAGCACTCTTGTAACAAGTTTAGTTACACTGGCTGTATCAGGGTACGGGCTCAACTACACTTTTGCCGGATCTTTTTCTATCTGAGTATTCCGCCACAGTACGCGCCAAGACAAAATTCACCACGGACCCACTGGAGCATTTGTACGGTATGCCCACTAGCGCGCCAACGTACAAGCAGCGCGACTGCACGCGCACGTCTACGATTGGTCCGTTGAGCAACATCCAAGCAACGTAGGGCGTTCCCGAAGCATCGCTCACTGCCAACGGTGCCAAAATGCGCGACAGGTGGGTTTCGTGCTGTCGTTTGCACCACATGGCAGTGATTGTGGTGTTGCAGCCTCTGCCATGTACTTCCCGCGGTGCGCGGAAATCGTGCTGCTTGGGCCTTCTTGGGCTTTGTGATTCCCAACGGGTCTCTCAGCCTCTCGCCATTCTCTCACCCTTCTCACGTTCGTCGTTCGACTGTTCTCACCTTTCTAAGTATTTGCTAATGCATCAGTGTACCGGAAAACATACCCTGCTGAAACCAGTGTACCCAAATTTTTAAATTGCTGTAAACAGTGTACCACGAAAATTACCCTAACAGTCAGGGTACGGAGGGCCTGCCACCCTGATTTGAAAGAGTGAGCCTAAACCTATTTTGGGCCCTGGCACAGAGTCCGCTGTCAGTAGATCTGCACTGTGGATGCCCGATTGATCCTGGAGAGGGTTACAGGCACGTTCGCCTGGGGGGTTATGGGCGCACTGACCCGCTACTAAAACAAGCCCTTTTATCCGAATGGTCTAGTGGTTGGGATTCTGACATCCGCATCTCCTTCACGACACGCTTCTTGTCAATGTCTGCAAGGTAAGACAAGGCATGGGATTAATAGGGGACGGGATGCCAACGGTCGAACGAGCATCCAATTATTTACTGACCTGGCAGAATCTCGTCGGAGTCGTCGTCGCGGAACAGAGTGACTATCGACAACAACCACTCAAGGCACTGTGCCTGGCGTGCGCTCCTCTCCCAATTCGGTTGCCACAAGTCAGGAATGTAAATTCGCACGCCGGAAAGAGAGTCGAGGTCGCCGAGCTTTGACTGGAGCTCTTGGACGAGGCCCTCGGCAAAGTCGGTGCAGAGCGCCACACACGCGTCGTGATGACCTGGCCCAAGATAGTTCGAGACTCTGCGCTTGGGAAGGGTGACCTTGAAGAGGTTGAGGCTCCCATCCGATGATGCGCCTTCCACCACCATCTCTGGTGTCCCCTTCAGCCCATGCTTCTCAATGAAGCGATAAAGCCGCTCGTTAGGGCCGCCGCCGAAGTCGTCTCCACAGTAGATGCACCGACTCTCCAAGAGAGACGTTGTGCGCACAATCTGCGTGTGCACCAGGCCTGTCGAAGTCCTTGGGACCAACACTTTGAGTTATGAGCTGTTCGAAGTTTGGCCCTGATTTTTGCAAAGGTGACCGTTTTTTAGCCCTTAACGATCACGGGCGCAGGTCAAATTCAAAACTTGACATCCGGGCTTCCTACAAAAATAGTACGTGAGCTGTAATGGCACAAAACTTGACATCCGGGCTTCAACCTATTACTTAGCAGCGAGTATGCTAACGACTCATCTGCATACCTACAGCGAGGGGGGAAGTGGGGTGGGGGGGGGGGGAGGAGAGGGGTCGTAGGGCAAAACATCGTCAGCAAAGAAGTCGCTTAAACTCGTGTGTACAATCTCAAAGCACTTCCGAGGTGGTCGTTTTTCATGTAGTACTACTAGTGTGAACTGATGGGGCAATTTCCTCTTGGCCTCGTAGGATGTCAGTGTCGCGAGTCCAGTGTGAGTACTTGGAACTGTGAGGAGACGAATTGACTTGAAAATATTTTGCAACTACAGCCATAACATCAACACAAGAAAGTCCTTTCGTGCCTAAGTAGATAGCTTGTGGGAGATACAGGGAGGATGAGAGTGGGAGGATAAGAGTGGCAACTTGGGCAGCTCGCAGGGCTACTCTACTCCTAATCCGGGAAATCAGGGAAAGGCCCTGAACCAGCCCTTAACGGATCCGGGCTAGGACCCCTATTTCTCAAAACCAGCCCGTAAGAAAAACGGGCTTCCCTCGAAACCAACCCTTTGAAATGCCGAAGCAGGCTGTGAGTTCGCCCGGAATGTTCAGGGCATTAAGGGCAAATGCCCTTGAATCGACAGCCCTGGTGTGCACCAAGGGGTAGTCAAGTGTAAATTAGTACACTGGTACATGTGTAGATAACACACTGCATGTACTCAAGTTGCTTACCTCTCGCTGCTGGAAAACCTTGGAGAGGATGTTGAGGAGCTCCAGAACGTCCGCAAGGAACCGTAGCAGGAACTGAAACCAATAGGATGTGACGAGCTCGTACATCATTTGGTCCTTCCGTTCTGACAGCAACACTACAATGGCAGGGAGGACCTCGACAAATTGGGCGACCGCATCACCTTTTGAAAGCCACCGCACCTCGTGGATCCCCTGCACCTCGAGATTGGTGGACGTAAAGACCTCCTGCAGCTCCATGAACCGTTGATGCCATTGTGATGATCGCCCCAGGTACTCAGGGACGGCGTGGATGACGTCGTCAAGTATGTTGAACGTGGGTATTGCCTCTGCAGCAGCTTTGGCAGCCAAAGCCTCTCTGCACGACGTATAAACAAACAGGATTAGCATACAATAAAAATCATCAACAATGTCTTCACTTAAGCCTTAAACATAAACGCACGGGTGAGCAATGCAGTGGAGCGAAACCAGATTGGGGATGAGCATTCGAAGTCGAGCAACCACACCATTGTGGGCCCCCACCATCACCATGGCGCCGTCTGTGCTCACTCCCGGAATACAACGGAGGTCCACACCGATAGCCATGATGTGGGAAAGAAGCAAACTACACAGGGATGCAGCGTCAGCTTTCTCAACCGTGAGGTGAGCAAACAACTCAGTCACGATTTGACCGTCGTGCAAGAAGGTAGCAAGCACAATCATGTGTTTGCCACGCCGCCGGTCGGTGCTCTCGTCCAAAGTGATCCCAATGAAGAGGCTCATTAGAAGGTGTTCCAGTTGCGATCCCGATGAAGGGGCTCGTTTGGAGCCATGTTGCAATTGACTGTGTTAGTTCCCCGAAGCCGTACCAGTACAAAAAAATCAAGCAGAGGCAGTTAGCGACTGGAAAAGAGATAAAACCAAGGATTCAATGGTTACAACCGCCAATACTTACGTATTGTAGTACGTGTTGTACCCCTGCTCTGAAAACCCGAGCACCTTCTTCTTCGCCAGGTAGCGCCCTAGCTGAATCCAAGCATCCATGGGCTCGTTGCACTTGCTCATGAAGTACAGCGAGTCCACGAGTGCCGAAACCTGCTGTCGCCCATACTTCTGCCGCTGCTAGTGCAAAGCGATGCTTCACCGTCCCTTCATGCTTCTTAAAGGACTGCGTCTGCACGTCAGTCGTGCCCTCACCATGCCGTCCACACTTGCCTGTAAGTCCCGCTAATTCCAAGCATATACTGCACTTAGAACCAGGGGCACCAGAAGCGGTTTTAGTTAGTGTCAGCCACGAGTAATCGGTATACCACTTTGTCTTATAACGAAAGTGAGCTTCTTCGTATTTCAACTCCAACTTGTCAGAGGGAGATTTGTTGGTGGGCTTTAAGCTGTCCTGCATGGGAGATTCGTCGCTCTCTGGAACTTCAACGTTGATGGAGGAGGTGGAGTTGCCCACGGAAACGTGGTTTGTCGGTATCGCAGCTTCGTCGGTGGCGCGGGACGGGACGGTGCTTCAGCGGACGCTTCATGGGGCACCGGCTATGGCGCAGTGATCATTGGTTCAGTGACGGCCGTGTGCAAAGGTTCAGAGTGTATGGAAACTGGAGGACGACTAGAGCTAGGTTGTGAAGGTGGAGCAGTCAGGTGGAACATGATTCGATAAGCACGACCTAAGAAAATCCAGGCGAATCAAAGAGTCCGAAACAGGGCGATGATCGGCGTCGTCATCATCGTCGGGCCCTTCAGCGGCAGCGTCTGTGACTGCCATTGAGTCTGCCGAGCACTAGTTTTGCTAGGTCGAGGAGAGAGAGCCTGAAACAAGGGTTCTGACACTAGTTTTCGGCGAGGAAATTAAATGAAGCAAGAGAGACAGGGCAATGAGTGACCCCCACGAAAGGCGACGATGAGGAAGATGATATGTCCTCGTATTTGGACCGCTCATCTCCCTGGTGGTCACTGCATGCACGGCACCTGGTCGTGTGTGCAGGGAAGGTGGGGTGAGTGGGGTGGATGGATGTGGTGACGTGAAAGTAGCAGCGCGTTGCGAGCTATTCGTTGGCAAGGAGGTTGGTGGAGGGGGGTGGATGGATGTGGTGTCATCCGGGTGCAGCGCGCTGCGAGCTATGTGTTGGCAATGAGGACGATGGAGGGGGGTGGATGGTTGTGGTGTCGTCTGGGTGCAGCGCGCTACGAGTGCATTGGCAAGGAATCTTGCCAACACTGCCTGCTCG